TGAAGAGATGAAGGAGGTAAGTGAGTAGGGTCTTCAAAGAGACAGGTACAGCAGATAAGTCATTGTCCTGAGTATATTTTAGAAAGGACTTCCATTTGTTCTCATATAGGAGAGTAGTGAAAGGTTTGCAAGCCTGAAGGAGAACGTTCATGACATCGGGAGTATCCTCCAAGCTGCAAGACTGAGAGAGGCGACGTTGGGGTGAAGGACGAGGCCGTGGTCGAGCGAGAGGAGAGGAAGACGGAGCATGTCCGACGACACTGATACCAGGTGAGTGAACCATGGCTGGCGGGGCCAGTATGGGGCTATCAGGATCGCATTGGCGCCATCTTGCCGGAGATGGACGATTACCTTCTGGATGAGAGGTAGAGGGGGAAATACATAGAGGAGATCATGAGACCAGTCCATCAGAAATGCGTCTCCCAGAGAGGCGCTGTCCCTTCCTGCTCTGGAACAGAATCGGGCACATTTCTTGTTGGCATCGGATGCAAAGAGGTCTACTGAAGGCATACCCCGTCGTCGGCATAGCCTCTGGAATATGACATTGTTCGGGGTCCATTTGTGAGTTCTCGTCGGAAGGTGACTGAGCCTATCGGCCAAGGTGTTGTCGTCGGTGGAAATGTGGACAGCAATAGGGAAAACATGGTTGGAATAGCACCACTCCCAGAGGTCAACAGCTAGGTAGAGCAGAGAAGGGTAGTGGGTGCCTCCTTGCTTGCTGACATAGAAGACTGCAGTGGTGTTGTCTGTTGCCAACTGCACTACCTGTTCTTGAATCAGGGGAAGAAAGACATGGAACGCCTTGATGACTGCCAACAGTTCCAGATGGTTAATGTGAAGTGGCAGTTCTTGTGTTGACCAGAGCCCGTGGACTGTGTGCTGAAGGCAGTGGGCATCCCATCCCGTGGGGCTGGCATCAGTTGTGACCTGTATGGAAGGTCGCAGGGGGGAAGAAAGGTCTGCCGATGAGGAGGTTGTCTGGGCAAGTCCACCAGTTGAGTTGGGAGGCTAGCTCTGGTGTTACCGACAGTAGTGAGGACGGGAGGTCTGTCACTGGGTTGAACAGGGAGAGAAACCATGCCTGCAGAGACCTCATTTTGAGCCTGGTGTGTTGGACGACGGCCGCCATCGATGCCATGAGCCCTAAGAGATGTTGGGCATGATGCGCTGAAACGGAGTGATGGGTTTGGAAAAGGCGGACAGCCTTTTGAATTTTTGTGATTCTTTCTGGAGGCAAAAAAGCTCTTGCGCGGAGGGAGTCTACCTCCATGCCGATGAACTTTGCTGTTTGTTTTGGGATCAGGTGTGATTTCTCAAGGTTGATTTTGAGACCGAGACTTTGAAGAGTATGGAGAGTTGTGTCTCGTGCCTTTATGGCGTCGTGGTACCATGTCGCCACCATCAACAATGTTTGAAAGGAGATGGGGAGG